GCTGAAGGCAGATGTTTAACGACTGAGCCACCCAGGCACCCCTCTCAATTACTTTTTAAAATTATTATTATTACATACGGGGCATTAGGCACTTTCACCTAATCTTCACATCATGTCTGCGACGTGAGGTATTTTTCTCACTGCGTAAGGAAACTTCATAGGAGATATATTTTTCTTGCTGCATAAAGGAGGCTTCAAAGAAATGGCTTCTCAGCTGTAGGTTGCTTTGTATTATCTCCTCAATGCAGGGCATTTAACTGTTATCACTCATTTGCAAGTTGGTCAAAGAATGGGAATTTTGAATGGGTGAGCAGAGTGAGGGAGGGAGAAAATATCAAAACCTAGTTGGGGCACCAGGGATTAAGCAGTGCTGGAAGGAGCACAGAAGTAAATTGGGAGAGTTTAGTACAATCTTCTTACGGGTTGTGAGAAAGAAGCTGCCAGAGGAATCATATGGATAGTCTCTTTTGGAGATACTTAGAGGTGCTAGCTGCCCGTGGAGTCAAAGAAAGCCTGATTGGATTTTCAGGCCAGATCACATATTTACACAGGGGAAAGGGGCTAAATGGTAGAAAGAATCCATGTGGTTTTTGCTAAAGACAAGATTTGTGAGATGGGAGCAACAAGAGGGAGTGTTGATCCTCAAGAGAATAAAACCATCCAGATTTCCATTTAAGAAAGGGAAAAGTTCTGGAACTACAGATCAGACACCAGAAGCATAAAGACTGTAAGATTTTAAAACCTTTGTCATTTCCCTACATTTGTTCTTGTAATCTGTGTTTTTTTAACAGTCACTGGAGGAAAAATCGTTAAACCAGTAAGGCTCCTTGATGGCTTTACAGCTAATCATTTACCTAAGTTAAACAATCCACACTGTGGGACAGTAGTTTTAATGGAGATACTGGAAGTTGTGGTGGTATTGTTGAGTGGTAGTTTTGAAGGAAAAGGGAGGCTTGAGTAGTCCTGAAGGAGGGAACTTTGGGTTGTTGGAGTATAGAGCACAGCATTGTATGCAAGGATGGAGATAGGACAAGGACAAAGAAAGGGAGGCAGAAGTTATGTGGAGCTGTCGCTGAATTCCTATCCAGTTCCTCAAACTCCTTTCTCCCTCTTTTCCACCTCGGTGGAGTAGAGGGACAAGCCCAGCTCCTTCACTATAGGATTGTGCCTATCATTTCCGTCTCCTGTCTCTGCACCAGGCATCACCTTGCAGCTTTCCTAACCACTTTGAGAAGTGGCCCTTTGTCAAAGTCATAGTTGAGTTCATTTTAACAGCCAGAAACTTAGGAGTGCTTCCTCGGAAAGCATCTTAGCTGTGACTGAAAAGCCATGAAAAAGTGTATCTTAGGGATGGTTAAATCATTTCAGCAGCTCAGCAGGCTCTTTGTGTAGTCAACTGTCTGCTTGACTATAGAATGAGGATTAGAAGGGCCTTTCCTGACCTGTCAGTAGACAGGTAAGAAAACAAAGACCCAGAGAAATAAAATGATTTGTTCAAGATTAAATGGCTATTTAGTGGCAGCACTGACACAGAAAATTAACATTCTGGTCAAAGCCCTTTGTTTGCACTTGAGCTAGCTTAAGATAAAGGCCAAGAGTTGGAATTTCAACTGTGTCCACACAAGAGCCAGGAACCAGAAAGCCTGGAAGTCTGAGTTTTATTGTGTATGGGTATGTGTTGTGATGTGGTGCAGGTGGGGCTATTCAGAAACAGATCCTGATAGGAGTTGTTAGGGATCGATACCTGTGAAGAGAAAGGGGAGGAAGGAGGATCGGCCAGAGAAAGCATTTAAATCGTGATGCAGGTCAGACCAGCCTTGGCCAACCTGACAGGCAGCTCAGAGAAAGCATTTTTCTTTAGAGCGTCCCACTTCAGGCAGAACTGCCTCATAATGTATATCTGGCCCCACTGGGTCATCTGACACAGGCTGCCCCAGCAAGGGCATGATCTTGGGCAAGAGGCTTCTCTGCAGCTGGAGCTGACAGCTGGACTGCACTCTTTGTGGCCAGGTAGCAGGTCCTTCTTTGAAGAAGATCTGGGTGGCACATCTCCGTGGCTACCACGGTATGAATGTGTGCCTCTAGCCACATGGCCTTTTGTCACTGAGTTGGCTTCATTCACTTTCTTTTTAGGCAGGTTGTCTCTCTTCTCCATGTACCTTGTTAAAACAATACTGCCATTCCACAACTCCAAGGTTTATGTATCCTCAGTGCTTGTATAATCATGGAGACTCACTATTGTCTAATTCCAAATGTCTGGGGAAAAGAATCTCATTGGATCAGCCACGTAAGGGAGGTAGGGAAAAGCTCTGGGTTTAAATCTCCTTTGCCAGTAGCTAGGTGACCACTCTGAGTCTCAGTCAATCTATCTGTAAAATGGTGATAGTTATATGTATTTTGAGAATTAAATAAGACAATGTATGTGAAAGAGCTTTGTAAACAGTAAAGCATTCTACAAATATAAGTATTATTTTCCTTATCCTACCAGTAATTTTGAGAGTCCTGCTGATGATAGCTTGCTTAATTGTTTTCTCTTTTGGATCATGGAGGACAAAGTTGAGATAATCACATTTCCCAGTTCTTGGCACATTCTTCTCATGTGCAACAACACTTTCCTTAATATTTTTGCTATTTGTACATCTCCACTATCATTACCCTCCCCTTCACTCTTATACATTTAATATGACTCCTTATATATATATATATATATATGTCTTTGTGAAATACATGGAATTGTTTTATTGTGTGCATCTTTTTAACAGCTTCATTGAGGTATAATTCACATAAAATAAAATATGTCTATAATAAACATACAATTCAATAATTTAAACTTGAAATTTTATACAGTTTTGCAACCATCACCAAAACCCAGGTTTAGAACATTTCCATCTACTCCCATCCAATACCCTTGTTCCCATCTGCAGTCGATCCCTGTTCCCATCCCCAGTCCCATGCAACCATTGATCTAATTTCTATTCCTATAGATTTGCCCCTCCTGGAAATTTCGTATGAAATAATATAATATGTGGTCTTTTGAGTCTGGCCTCTTTTATTAAGCTTAAAGTTTTTGAGGTTCATCCATGTTGTAGCATGTCTCAGTAGTTTATTCCTTTTTATTGCTGAATAATATTCCATTGTATGGATATATCACATTTTGCTCATTCATCAGTTGATGGGCATTTGGATTGTTTCCAGGTTTGGTGTTATGAGAAATTCTGCTTCTACATTCCCATACAAGTCTTTGTGTGTATATTCTCATTTCTCTTGAGTAGGTACCCAGGAGTGGAATTTCTAGACCATATCGTAAGTTTATATTTAATTTTTAAGAAAGAGCCAAACTGTTTTCCAAAGTAACTATACCATTTTACATTCCCACTGGCAATGTATGAGGGTTCCAGTTTTTCTACATCCTTGCCAACAGTTGGTATTTATTGTCAGTCTTCTTGATTATGGATAGATAATGGTGTCTCACTATGAATTTAATTTGCATTTCTTTAATGATTAATAATGCTGAGCATTTTTTCATGTGCTTACTGGCCAGTTCTCTATCTGGATTAGTGACATATTCAAATCTGCTTTTAATTAATTGTTTTTTATTACCAAATTATAGTAGTTCTTCATATATTATGGATAAAAATTTTTTGTAGATAGCCATCAGGATGTTCCTTAATGATTCCCACCTCCTGCTATTCATGCCAATGTATAAAACTTTCCCAAATTATCCAGGATTGGCCTGTGTTACTGATAACATACAGCAGAAGTATATTGTGTTGCTCCTGAGATTAGGTTT